CTTCTCTGGGTCCTTAGAGAAGAGGGGACAGGCACGGGCATACTTGCACATGTATGTGGACACGCAAGTGGGAATGGGCCCATGTGGGCATGCAGGCAGGGGAGGGCACATGCATCTTGGTGATCGAGTCTGGAGGAGACAGACCCAGGTGGTCAGGCGGGCAGATAGTGGTGTGGTCAGAATCCTTCCTGTCCTCCTCGGGGCTGGCACAGTCCAGACGCCAGCTCCCTGTGATATCACATCTGCCCAGACCCCTTCCTCTTTGGGAACCCTTCCCCTCCCCCCACAAGTTTCCTCTTTCCCATCACACCCTCCCTGGGCCTAGAGGGAGTGGACAACCACTCATTGTCCTGTTTCCGCCCCAGGAGCCACTCCAGGCCAGCCCAGGCCCCCAGCACTCAGCACCCGCTCTGCCCGCCCTGTCTGTGCAGTACGCCCCTCCCCCACAGGCTCAGCCGTGATTCTCTCTGTGCGGTTTGTGCTGTGCCTGGGTCTGGCCGTGATCTTCCCCTGTGCAGCCCACACCATGGCTATGTCTGGGCCTGGGATGCGGCTCACTGGTCATTAGAGCACTGAGTGGGGCAGCCAGCGGTGTTTCTAGAAGCATAAAAATACCCCCAACCTGAGGCCCCTCCACCCGACCCGCCCCAACACAGGCAGCACTTCCGCAGCCCTGACAGGAAATGGGCTGGAGTCTCAGCCTCCCGCCATCTCGAGGCAACTTCTTGTTTCCCTGTTGCCCTGTGCCAGCACTGGGGTAGTGCCCCCTGGGCTCCACCCCCAAAACCTTCCCAGGGCTCTGTCCCTGCAGCTTGGAGGGGCCAGGATGGTGGACATGATCGCCAAAGTGACTAGGAGGCAGAGTCAAGCCTTGCGGGCACAGGTAGGGGACGCTGGGGTCAAGGGGTGCCCCATGGGCCTCTACCCCAAGCCCTGTTAGGAGCTGGGCGAGCTGGGGCTCGGAGCAGGGAGCCTCTTGGAAGTTGGGGCTCATACTTCCTTTTCTCTTTCCTTCTTAGAGGCCCTGCCCATCCAAGAGGTGGTCAGCTTGGGGCAAGAGTGGCAGAGCTGCCACCTGCTTGTGGACAGGGGAGGGAACTGGAGACAAGGGGTGAACCACTGTAAGGAAGTGCCGGGGGCTGGGCAGCCTGGAGCTTGACAGCCAGGTCCCTCTTGGCTCCTCCTCTGGCCTGGAGTGGGGAGGCCACTTCTTGTCTCTAGGATGCGGCCCAAGAGCCTTCGGCTCTGTGGTCAGGCCCCTGCTTATGAGCTGCATCTGGGTCTTGCTGGGCCTCCACGCACAGGAGCAAGGAGGAGGGTAGGGGTGGCAGGCGCTGCTGTAACTCCTTGAAGGCCAGAGGATGTGGAGGGCGTGACTGCACCTGGCCCCAGGAGCTGGTCAGAACCCAGCTGAGGCTCTGCCAGGAGGGGAGGCATCTCTAGCTCAGCACTGCGCGGGGTCTGCAGAGAGTTCTAGAGTTCGAAGGGGCCTGAAGGACGCTGCAGTTCAACGCCCACCACAGGGCTGTGGCTTCCCTAACGGGGAGTAGACTCTGCTCAGTCACCTCCAGCGAGAGTCCCCCACTACCTCCAGAAGCAGCCTGTGTCTCTGGCAGCCCCAGTCCTCAGAATACTTCCTTTAGAGGAATGCTGCTCTGCCCCTGCAGCGTGATACCACGTCTTCTCTTCCTTGTGACAGCCCTGTCATGCTGGGGACCTAAACTTCTACCTCCCAAATCTCTTCTGTGCCTGCTGGGGATGTTCCTTTGTGTGAAGACCCCATCAGCCTCACTGGCCTGGGACTCCTTGGGGACTCAGAGCCACGGCCCACAGCCTGCCAAGTAGAAACTCCTGCTCCAAAAAGCCTGCTCCTTATCGGCTCATCCACCCCTGGTGGGGCCTTTCAACCCCTGCCCCAGTGGGTTCAGCTGGGAGGATGGCAGGTGTGTCTGGTTCCTCTGCCTTCCTCTCCCCGCTGCTTCCATCCTGCCCTCCCCAGGAATCCCCTGGTTTCTGTGGCTCCAACCTTCCTCCTCAGAAAACTCAGCTCATTCCAGGCTCTCCTGCCATGTCAGGCGTGTTTGCTGCTGAAACTTGGCATGGGTTAGACTTGTGTACTCAAGCAGTAAGTGTTTGTGGCAGACCTGCTGGGTGCTTCAGGGCATTGGCCCAGCTGCTGGGTGGCAAATGAAATCAGCTACATTATCTTTAGTCTTGCTCTCAAGAAAATCCTGCCTTTTGGGGCAGAGGAGGTGGGCAGATGGCTGCACAACTGGCTGCCCACCAAGGCAGAATACCATTGGACCCCACCAGAGCAGTGAGCAGAGTGCCAGCAGGTTTGGCCTCTCCCTGGAGAGGCTTATCAGCTGAGCACCGTGAGAGAGCAGGATTTGGGAAGGCAGAGAACCAGAGAAGGGAATTCCAGGCTGAGGGAACGGCTGGAGCAAAGGCATGGAGATGGGAGGATGCCTTTTCTGTTGGGGGCCAGTGAGAGTCCTGTTGTAGTTGGACTACAGGATGCCACATCAGGCCTGTGGTGGGGGCAGAGAAAGGAGAAGTGGGCTGGCGGGTCCCCTCTCAGCCACACAGGAGCCTAGAGGAAGGGGAGAGGAGTGAAGAACTGATGGGCTGGGATCCCCAGCTCTCCCTGACCCCTGGGCACCTGGGGACCAGCACCCTGTCTAAAACTGTAACATCCTCTTCTTTCACAGTGTTTTCCTTTCTTGCTTAGCAGTGATCAGCACTGACATGCTGTCCATTTACTCATCACCCCGCCATTTACACACAGGTGCACTTGAGTGCCAGCTCTGCCGGGGAGGGATTTGTGTCCCTTTTTCACTGCTGCATTCCCCATGCCTCGAACAGTGACTGGCGCAGAGCAGGCAGATCTTTGTTGGGTGAACGAATGTTCTTCTTTTCCTTATTCTTTTTGTTTTGGCTTGCTTTGCTTTTTTAGCATCAGTTTGGTGAAAAATGAATTTTTTTTTTTTTTTGGCATCTGCCTAAGGCTCAGGGAGAGGCCACCTTGAACAGGTGCTTCCTCTTTCGAGGAGTTTACAGCTTAGTGACGGTGTCACAGTCAGCAGAGGAACTTCTGTGATTTTTTGAAAGTTTTGTAGTACAAAATTTTGAGGCTGCAGGAAAGTTCAAAGAAAACAAAACAAAAATAAACCCCTATAATCACAGTGCTCAGAGGGGACCTCTGTTAGCATTTTGGAAAGTTTCTGAAAACAAAAATTGAAATGTAGAAATCCGCTTTCCCCTGAAGTTTTGCGTATGCTTAGAAAATAGTAATCGGCCGGTGCGGTGGCTCATGCCTGTTATCCCAGCACTTTGGGAGGCCGAGGTGGGCGGATCACCTGAGGTCAGGAGTTCAAGACCAGCCTGGCCAACAGGGCAAAACCCCATCTCTACTAAAAATACAAAAATTAGCCAGGTGTGGCGGCGCACGCCTGTAATCCCAGCTACTCGGGAGGCTGAGGCATGAGAATCACTTGAACCTGGGAAGTGGAGGTTGTAGTGAGCCGAGATCACACCACTCTACTCCAGTCTGGATGACAGAGAGAGACTTTGTCTCAAAAAAAAAAGAAAAAAGAAAAGAAAATAGTAGTAATGCCATGCTGCTGCCTAGGGTTCGAGAATGTAGTCGTCTGTCCCTCTTTGGGGCTGAGGGTGCTGGGCTGAATGTAGGGGCACGGGGATGGGGGGAATCTCGGGAAAAGGCTGGAACCTGGCACCTGAGCTGAGTCCTGACGAAGGAATTGGAGTCAGCCAGGCATAAAAAGGGGTGGAGATGGGCCTGGGCAGGCTACAAATGAGCCTAGGCCTGGAGGAAACACAGCAGGGAAGGTGGGGACCTCTAGCAACTGGCGCTACTGGAGCGTAAAGTTCAAGGCAAGGGGCAAGGAGTGGCAGGAAATAATAGTGGAAGCACAGGCCGGTGAGGGGACTGTCTCTTGTGCCTGGTTAAGGGCTTAGACTTTGCCCTGCAGCCAGCAGGGAGCTCTGAGGTGTGAATCAAGAGAGCCTCTGTTCTGGGAGGCTTAAGCATGGCTAGGTTTATGTTCTATGTGATTGAACCCCCAGCTGCCCTCACTCTCCTTTGGGGTGTGGGAAAATGATTCACCTCTCTTTGCCCCTCCATTCTCCAGCCCATCTGGCTGTCCTCTCTCCCTCTCTTGTCTGGAATTGGTTCTGACACCTGCAAACTTCACCTTGAAAAGTTCAGTCCCCAAATCCAGACACGGTACTGAGTCCAGTCCCAGAGCTTTCTGGGCTGGGAGGGAGGTGGGGTGGGAACTCTTAATGGGGCTTTAAGAATACAGCTTGAACCCGGGAGGCGGCTGTTATAGTGAGCCGAGATTGCACGACCACACTCCAGCCTGGGCGACCGAGCAAGACCCCATCTCAAAAAAACAAAAAAAGAATGCAGCAGGGCCCTGAATGGGCACCACAAACAGGGGCATGCCCCAGGCCACTTCTCAGTTCCTGCCCAACCTCTGACTTGCCTCTGTGAGTACACAGTTGTGAGAACTGGGTTATCAATGTTTTATTATTATTGATAAATATAGTTAATGTAATTGACCCACCTATCTGGGGCACTGAATACTTTACAAAGCACTTTCAAGAGCATTTCCTCATTCACTCTTCACTGCAATTTCCGGAATGGGCAGAGCAGACATGTTACACCCAGGAAACTGAGGCAGAGAGGTAGTGTGACTTTTCAAAGGTCGCCCAGGGGGCTAAAGCTCAGGGAGAGGCCACTTCAAACAGGCGCTTCTCCTTCCAGGGAGTTTACATATTAGTGATGTTGTCACAGTCAACAGAAGAACCTCTGTGATTTTTAAAAAGCTTCGTTGTACAAAATTTTGAGGCTGCAGAAAAGTTTAAAGAAAATAAAACAAAAACAAACCCCTATAATCGCACTGCCCAGAGGGGACCTCTGTTAGCATTTTGGAAGGTTTCTGAAAACACAAAATTCCTCCTTTTTCCTCCCACAGGTGGACGACCCCCCGGAGCCCGTGTACGCGAACATAGAGAGGCAGCCCCGGGCCACGTCGCCGAGCGCCGCTGCGGTCCCCCTCCCCAGCCCAGTGTGGGAGACGCACACGGACGCGGGCACCGGGCGCCCCTACTACTACAATCCAGACACGGGAGTTACCACCTGGGAGTCGCCCTTTGAGGCTGCCGCCAGCCCAGCCACCTCCCCTGCCTCGGTGGACAGCCACGTGAGCCTCGAGACCGAGTGGGGCCAGTACTGGGATGAGGAGAGCCGCAGAGTGTTCTTCTACAACCCGCTGACGGGCGAGACGGCCTGGGAGGACGAGGCCGAGAACGAGCCCGAGGAGGAGTTCGAGATGCAGCCGGGCCTGAGCCCTGGCAGCCCCGGGGACCCGCGGGTGAGGGGCAGGGCCAGAGTGGGCGGGTCTACCTCTGAGCTCCTCTGATCCTGCCTCCTGCTCCCAGAGGCCCAGGGACACACGGGTGAGGGGTGGTGATGGGTGGGCAGGGCTACCTCTGAGAGCCTTTGACTCCTCCTCCTCCTCCCACAGACCCAGGGACCCCAGGGTGAAGGGCGTGGCTGGAGTGGGCGGGGCTACCTCTAAGCACTTCTGATCCCGCCTCCTGTTTTATAGACCCAGGGAGCACAGGGTTGGGGCAGGGCTGGAGTGGGCGGGGCTACCTCTAAGCACTTCTGATCCCGCCTCCTGTTTTATAGACCCAGGGAGCACAGGGTTGGGGCAGGGCTGGAGTGGGCGGGGCTATCTCTGAGTGCCTCTGACGCCTTCTGCTCCCACAGCCCCAGGGACCAGAGGGTGAGGGGCGGGGCTGGAGTGGGCGGAGCTACCTCTGAGTATCTCTGACTCTACCTCCTGCTCCCACAGCCCCAGGGACCAGACGGCAAGGGGGTGGGCCTGGTCCAAAACGGCAGGGCTAGCGGGCAGTGCTGGCAATCAGAGCCTCTGACTCTACCTTCTGTTCCCCACAGCCCCCCACCCCGGAGACGGACTACCCCGAGTCACTGACCAGTTACCCCGAGGAGGACTATTCTCCCGTGGGCTCCTTTGGTGAGCCCGGCCCCACCTCTCCCTTGACCACACCCCCCGGCTGGTCTTGTCATATCAGCCAGGACAAGCAGACGCTCTACACCAACCACTTCACCCAGGAGCAGGTAGGCGAAGCGGGCAGATGGACCCGGCCAGCCTCGGAGTCCTCCCCACAACCTTCCTCATTAATAGGTCGCCTGAGTGCTCTAAACTGTAGCTCCCACACAGAGCCTAAACCCGTCAAACGCATCACCTGCACCTGCCCCTCCAGACTCCCTGGTGCTGTCTTGGAACCTGGTTGGAGGGGACCTTTTCCTCCCTTCTCATGAGCGGGGCGGGAGGCCCTGACCCTTCCTCTCCCCACAGTGGGTGAGGCTGGAGGACCCCCACGGGAAGCCATACTTCTACAATCCAGAGGACTCCTCCGTTCGATGGGAGCTGCCCCAGGTAACAACCTGGGGAAAGGGGGGTGCTGGGGAGAGAGGAAGAGATCACATACGACTGTGTCTTTCTCCCCAGGTCCCTGTCCCTGCCCCTCGAAGCATCCATAAATCCAGCCAGGATGATGACACCCCAGCCCAGGCCAGCCCTCCAGAGGAGAAGGTAGGGGAGGAGCCATTGAGGTCCTGGCAGGACCACCACAGTAGCACTGGGGGGCTTCTGGAGGTCCTGGGAGAAGGGACTGGGCAGGACATATCTGTCTTCTCCATAGGTCCCTGCAGAGCTGGATGAGGTTGGGAGCTGGGAGGAAGTCTCTCCTGCCACAGCTGCTGTGAGGGTAGGCATCACCCCCTACCCCCAGCCAGGTGGTGGGGCTGGTGAGGAGGGTTCAGTGGGGCCATGGGCCCAGACCATAGAGAGTGGCAGCTCAGCAGGTGACCAGCCTCTACTCCCCATAGCTCACCCCTTAACTACCCACTCTTGTACCTTCTCTCTCTTTTCTCTCTTAGACCAAGACGTTGGACAAGGCAGGGGTGCTCCATCGCACCAAGACGGCGGAAAAGGGAAAGCGGCTCCGGTGAGAGCCCATCTACACCCAGGCCGGGGCAGGGTGGGCCTTGGTGATGATGTTCACTGAGCACTTCCTATACGCCAGGCTCTTGTTAATGCTCACAACAACTTCGTGAGTGGTCCTCTGTGGACACTGAGACACTGCGAGATAAAGTGACTTGCTCAAGGTCCCTTGGCTGCTAGGTGTTAGAGTCAGGATTTCAGCCCTCATAGTGGGGTACCCTAGCCTGTGTTCCTAAGCTCTGACTTGTTCCTGAGGTAGGAGGGGCCCTCAACCCAGGACCAAATCTAAGTCCTGCCACCCCTACTTCCCCACCCCCACCTAGAAAGAAGCACTGGAGTGCCTCCTGGACTGTGCTGGAGGGTGGCGTCCTGACATTCTTCAAGGACTCAAAGACCTCAGCTGCAGGCGGCCTGGTAAGGCCAGGCCCTCAGGGCAGGGACCACCCCATCTGCTTTTATTTATTTATTTACATTTATTTATTTATTTATTTATTTATTTATTTATTTATTTATTTATTTTTGAGACAGAGTCTCCCTATGTTGCCCAGGCTGGAGTGCAGTGGTGTAATCTCGACTCACTGCAACTTCTTCCTCCTGAGATCTCCTGCCTTAGCCTCTTGAGTAGCTAGGACTACAGGCATGTGCCACCAGGCCCGGCTAATTTTTGTGTTTTTAGTAGAGATGGGGTTTCACTATGTTGGCCAATCTGGTCTTGGACTCGACTTCAGGTGATCCGCCCACCTCGGCATCCCAAAGTGCTGGGATTACAGACGTGAGCCATTGTGCCCAGCCCCCATCTGCTCTATCTAATCTGGCTTGGAGATGACGAGGTCTGAGAGGGTGGTCCATGAGTGTCAGAGGAGCTGGGCCTTGGCAGGAAGGGGGTGATGCTGGCAGCTTCACTCCAAGACAAGTAGTTTTAGCCCGCTGGAGATGGGGAACAGTCTCGAGGGTGGCCAGCTCCAGCCTGGAGGGCAGGGAGGCTGGGGGCGGGCATACCTGCTTGCAGGGATGCAGACTGCATTCCTTTCCTGTCCTCCACTGGACGGGTGGACAGCAGTGGACAGGCCAGCCAGCAGGCTCTGTGGTTAAGAAGCATTAGGGTCTGGGTTCAGGAACCCTTGGGGCTCTTTTCCCCAGAGTCGTTTCCTGGCCATGCCGTAGACCCCATCCTATTCCTAGGGTCAGAGTGCCACAGCAGACACATCTGAGGGCTCCCTGTGACCTTCCTCCCTCTCCCACAGAGGCAGCCTTCCAAGTTTTCCACCCCCGAGTACACAGTGGAGCTGAGGGGGGCCACTCTCTCCTGGGCCCCCAAAGACAAATCCAGTAGGAAGAATGTGCTGGAGGTAAGTAGCCGGGGTGGGGAGAAGGAGGGAAGGGGCTTAGTGATGCCTGTCAGCCCTCTGACAACTGTTGACCTGGAAATGACCTGGGGGTTTTTGATCCTTAATTCCCTATGAGCCAACACTGTGTGCAGCTTTTGGCTGTATTAATAGAGGTGGGAATCCAGAGCCAGAGAGGAGATATTGGTGCAGTTGTTGGCAGTGCTCTGGGACCCTTACTGTAGGCAAGCTCCAAGAAGGAGGACCTGGGAGGAATTGGGGCTACCATTCTCGGGGCTCAAGGCCAATGCTGCCCCCCCAACCCCAGGGGACCTGTCCTGTGTTTCTAACATCACAGATTCTGCAGTTCCCTCTCCAGGAGTTGAGTTAATAATAATCCTTGCCCTGGAGGGTGGTGAGGAGTAGGGCCTCTGAGAGAGGAAATTCTCATGCCTAGAATGGCAGCCCTCATCCCAGCCTGAGAGACAGGAGGCTCCGTGTCCTTGGCTGCTTACTGTGACAGGCCTGGTTGGGAAACCTCTTTCTCCCCAGGTCCCCTTCCCTGCCCCTGAGCCAGAGCCCCATTTCTGACTGGACCGCATCCCCAGTGAGTAAACCAGGGCAGTGGAGAAGACTACCATGCTACCCCCTGAGGAAGGGAGAGAAGACGCAGGAAGGGTACTCCCAATGCCACACCCTTCACTGTCCACATGTTGTCTTGTTTTTAAACTACTCTTACCCTGACCTCAGTCCCTAGAAGGTTTGAGGCAGTTCACAACAGAAACACGTGTGGTGAACTGGCAAATTCACTGAAAAGCCAGGACCACAAAAAACAAGTAAGAGATGGGACTGAAGATGGAAAGGAATTAGGGGGAGATGATGTACTAAGGTGGTGGTTACTGAAGAAAATTTAGCTCTGACTTTGCTGCTAGGGGAGGTGAAAAGAGAAGGGCTGTCAGGTGCATGTCTCTTTGTTGTTGAAAAAATAATAAAACCCACCCAGATGTTGAGGGAATTAAAGCTTTTCCCTAAGCCTTCACTCTTAAATTTCTTGTGTGTAGCTCCACGAACATGGGATCTAGAAGCACGCGGCAGGTACCCTGCAAAACAGCTCCAGGGAGGTTTAATTCAGGATCTGGGGCTGCTTCAGGTAGCATCATTATGATAAGGCCAAGAGCGTGACGTCATGTCTGAGCTCAGAAAAAGCAGTTCTGCAAGGAACCTGAGTGCATCGTTTCCTGATTATTCACCAAGCTCCATTCAGTTCTAGAGCCAGGATATCTACAAAGCAAAGTTGGAAAACTGGTTTCATCTCATGAGCTACTCTGATGAGTAGGTCTGGAGTCTTGTGAGGTTTTGTTTTTGTTTTTATTTTTTGTTTTTGTTTTTAGAGACAAGGTCTTGCTCTGTTGCCCAGCCTGAAGTGCAGTGGCATAGTCATAGCTCGCTAAAGCCACAAGCCCATGGGCTCAAGTGATCCTCCCACCTAAGGCTTCCAAGTAACTAGGACTACAGGCGCATTCCATCACATCTGGCTAATTTTAGTCTTTATAGAGATGTTTATTGATTTGTTGATGGTTTCCGGTTCTCCGATCGTTGCCCAGCCGCAGGTCTCAAACTTACTGGCCTCCCCAAGTGATCCTCCAGCCTCAGCCTCACAAAGCGTCTGGCGATTACAGGTGTGAGCCACGGTGCCCGCTGGAAGCCCTCCTTTTTTTTTTTTTTTTTTTTTTTTTTTGAGACGGGTCCTTGCTCTGTCACCGCAGGCTGGAGTGCATGGCCCCATCTCGGCTCCTGCAAGCTCCGCCTCTCGAGCTCATGCCAT